GTGGATGGAGATGCGGTTTCTGTAGCGCTGGGCTGGCTGCGGGGAGCCATTGGCTGGCGGCTTTGTGAATTTCATTCAGTTTGGTCCAATAGCGGGAGGAGAGCGCCTGGTACAGCCTGGACCTCTCCCCCCCTCCTCTCTGCCCCCCCCCATCTCCCTCTCTCTCCCAGCTCGCCTTGCCTTGCAGATCAGTCTCTCCGCGGCTCGGTCTTTCTGCATAGGCAATCACAGCTCCTACTTGCAGACTCAACTCTCCCTCTCGCACTGATTGCAATGCATTTTCTGCCTGAATGTAGGTCGCTTACAACCGAGAACACGAGTTTCCTTCAAATCCACTGTTGCTGTCTTTCTTCTTGTTATTTTTAATTTTTCCCCCCTTTCGTGGTCGTTGCATTCCTTTGGAGAAGCCAATCGCTTTGGATTCCAAAAAGGGGAGCAGGAACCGTATGTGAATAATCCTGGCTGCATGATAGCCCGAGAGGATTTCCTGAAAGATTCTGGCTGTGTAAAAAAGACCCCTATGCTTCTTCAGCTATCCCAGTGTTAAGGTAGGAGTACCGGATTTGCAGTTTTGAGTGTTCATTTTTTTTTTCCTATGTTTTTTTCTGTTCCCCCCCCCCTTTTTTTTTTTTTTTTCTCGGCGAGGGTGGGGGAAGAGAGGGAGAGGTGTTGCAGTTGGTACTCTGGCAAAGGGCGAGCAGTTTGCTGCAGTCGTCTTGCTTTTACTTTTCCCATCATGATAAAGCGATACTTTCTTTTTGACATTTCCACCATCATACGCGATCTTCTTGTCACATATGCATATTTATGCAAATTTATTTCTTTTTTACCCACTTCGGTCTCGTCCCTTATATCTCCCTTGCACCATAATTTGTTTGGAGGCATTTTGCTGCAATCAGCTATTTGGAAAGGCTCTGAGGTTCTGTGTGAGATGTTTACAAAGTAGCTTTGCTTTACAGGGAAATAAACAGAAGAGTGTGGAGGAGAGGAGGGAAAAATATCTGCAGTACAGGCAGAGAAAGAAAGAGCGAAACCACAGTTTCTTGCAAGCGCGAAGAGGGGCAGGAGCGGTACCTCATGCTCTGTGAGCCTGTGGTTTTCAGGAAACACAAAACCAACACGTAGGGTTTTGGCTAACCACTTTCCTTGCCACCACCACAGCCAGGAAAAAGCAAAAAGGGACAGGGACGGGGACGCGCGGGGGGGACAAGGGAGGCGGCTGCTCAGAGGAAATCTTGGATCTTCTGGGATTAAGCGGTTCACCCGCTTTCGCTTAAGCTATTCCGTGGTGGGTTGCCTTTCTTCCCCCTTCCCCCC